AACCTTTTTGCTGAAAGGCGACAGCTCTACCAACGCCACAATAAAAAGACAATGACCTTGTAGAGATAATTAGGACTCATTATGCACTTTGACATTTTATCTGGACTACTACTAGATACAGGATGTTCTATTCTTTTATAAAGATTATAGTTTTACCTGAAAGCTGTGATTCATTTATATCATTTGTGTTGAGTTGTTTTTGACTGGGTATCAGAAACAAGTCACTCTCACCAAGGACAAATTAGTTTCCAAATGAACCAGCCTGTGTCAGGTTGATTAGTTACTGTGTGCTGCTGTGGGAGGAAACCAGAGTACCCAGAGAAAGCCCATCCACAGAGAGAACATGAAACAGAAATGTTCTTACTACGAAGTGACGGCTCTGGGCTGCCACCAGAATCAAAGGACCTCCTCACACAGAGAGACAAGCCATCAATGATCTCTGGGCTTCCACAGGAACAAAAATGGATGGATGCATGGAGAAATGAACAGATGGATGAACAGATGGATGGATGAATTCTAGAATTGAATTTCTAGAATTGTTCTAGAATTGCGGCACTCAAGGTGGCTGCATGTTGGAGCAGCTCAGTTGATTTCATTTTGAGATTTTGCTTTGGGAAACTTTAATTCCTCTTTTTCTGAATGTTGTAGATGAACATATGCATGAGATATATTCATAAATTAAACGGATTCTTTCATTTTTCTGGACTGTATATAATGTGCATTGAATTTAGAAATGTAACGTGAGACGTTAATTATCTTTGACCCATCAAAATGAATGCGGTCATTTATTAACAGAATCAAAGTTTAACACATCACACATTTACATTAATTGGCAAAATATGGAAAATAACAACATGGCTAGTTTAGCAAACTGTACAATTTTGATTATCCACACGGCGGTGGATGAGAACTTTACACAGACATTTCTAAAATATCTGGAATGATTTCTACTTGATAGAAGAATTTTAAAGATGGAAAGATGAAGTTTAAAGGGAGAAAAAGATGGGTGAGGGGGTTTGTTTGTGTCAGCAATCAGGACGGCACTCTCCGGGCTTTTCTCAACTTCTTCCCCAGTACACTTAGGTGTTATAAATCAACTTTTTACCTGGAGATGTCCCCACCGGTACGAAAGTCCATTCAACGCACCCTTTCAGCGTCTCCGTAGGAACAGCTGTGAATCGTCCGAAGTAGTGACGGTATTCCGTCCGACACAAGTTCACCTCACGAGTGGACTTCACATGAGTGGAGTCCGTCAGAGTTCCACCCAGAGGTGGAAGATGTTATAATCCCATAAGACTCGGAAGAGCTTTGTGGTCATGTCAGGATCTTCCTGTTTCCCAGCACGGGAGCTGCAACGACTCCAACTCGACTCTTCACCCGACTCTCCTCGAAAACTCTCCGCCACTGGTTTGAACTAGGAAGTACCGACATTTTAAAGAGCTCTATTTCCGGTTCATTTGGGAGTTTCTGATTGGTCAATATCGACCAGACAGGGGTGTGTTTTGTGACGTAAGAGGTCACTAAATGTCAGAAAAACAGCAAGAATGTTATGGAACAGATTGAAAATGTTTTTCAGACAGAGAGAGAAATGTTTGGACGAGTTGGCGGAAAAACAGGTGCCAGCTTCTCTATTTACGTCTGAGAGGATGTAAAAACACGACAGCTCGTTCCAACAACTGGTCTGCGTTTGACTCCGACCTTGGACCAACTTACACTGCTCATTCAAAGACAGAAAATCAGAAAATGCATAATTACTCTGTAACAGACCTTAACATGAATTCTAACTTTGCATGAGGATTAAAAATCATTGTTACTGTTTCACAGTTAATTAAAAATGATTAGTTCACTGCAGCATCTAAAATGGTTTGAACTAAAAACACTTTGATTACCAACACTTGTAAAACAGTAATGATAATAGAAAAGAGAGTGTTCTTTCACTTGAATTTTCAAGAAAGAAAGTCTCAGGATGGGTCAACCTGTATTTCTGGATGCAAATCAATGAAATGACAAGTTCTGTCCCATATGATCCTTAAGGTCAAATCCTGACCTTAGGCTTAGTTCACTACAATGTAAATCACAATTTTTTGGATGATTGTTTCCTCTGGTATCAGACGCTGTGCAGCTGGAAGGATTTTTACTGAAACTTTTTTAGTTTTGGACATTTGTTATGATGTGTAACCATGGCAACAAGGCAGTTTTCTACAACCATCAGCAGCTGATTAACATCTCAAAAGATCAAATAATATCTCAACTACAGCCCCAAATCTCAAATGAGTTGAAAGGATGTTCTGTGGATGCACTCTCATCTACCTGCTAGCTGTGCTCGAGTGCCTGACCACTGAGATCCTGGAACTAGCAAGAAAAACGGCTCATGACAGTGGAAGGACAGGATCGTCCCTCAGCACCTACAGTTGGCTGTCTGCAGTGACGAGGAGCTCAGTAGATTGCTGGGAGGAGTGGCCATTGTTATGGGAGGAGTTCTGCTGGCATTTGGGCGGTCCTACAGCCCGAGGGGAACCGAGAGGCCAGCCGAGTCTGGGTGGACGGATCGGACGGCATCTGCAGCCAGTTTCTTAGGATCCACTGTGGGATGGACCTTTACAAGAGATCCTTCCTGTCTACAGCCATCAGGATCTATAACATCTCTTAATGAAAGGAGGACAACGAGTTACAACAACAAATAATTTCCCTCTGGGGTTAATAAAGTATTTTTGAATTTTTTGAATTGAATGAACAGATGACTAAATGAAAAGATGAATGGATGAACAGATGATTAATGAATTGATAGATAGATGAAAAGACAGATGAATATATGAACTGATGTACAAATACAAAAAGATGGATGGATGAGCAGATGAGTAGATGGATGAATGAACATAGATAGATGAATGAATGGTAATAATCATATAGCACCTTTTACCTCTTTACAGCACAATACTTTTTGAAACAGCCAGACATGGACAGAACAATTGTCTATGCAATCCAAATATGATCTTTTCACAATGATTCATAAATAAATCATCCGTACATCTTTATCCAGTTCTTCCTTTCCGGGTCGTGGGGGTCACTGGTGTCCATATCCAGCATTCACTGTGTGAGAGTTGGGGGACACCCTGGACAAGTCTCCAGTCCATTACAGGGACACATAGAGACAAACAAGACAAACAACCATTCCTTCTCTTTACTTTCACCTCTTTACAGCACAATCTGCGTCCTCAATTACCTCCACACATACGTTCATACAGCACTCTACTACATGTCTACAAAAATAATCAAACAAATCCTTCTAAATCCTTCTAGTGCTTTAGATCACATTTATTTACTGATGGGACACATATCAGAGGCAATGATGGGGTCAGTGTCTTGCCCAGGGACACTTCAACATGTTACTGCTTGTGGAATTGAACCCCCAGCTCTCCCATTGGAGGACGACTGCTCTAACCACTCAGCCGCAGCTGCCCCATGGATGGATGAACAGATTAATGAACAGATGGATGAATTAATAAATTAACCGATGTGTGGATGAACAAGGGAAGCACTGTAGTGCAGTTAATAGAGCTGTTGCTTCTCAGTGAGAAGGTCGCCAGTCCAAATCCCAGCCCGGGGGCCTTTCTGGGTGGTGTTAGCATGTTCTCTCCATGCAAATGTGGATTTTCTCCAGGTACTCCAGTTTCCTCCCACAGCCCAAAAACATGCATGTTAGGCTGATTGGTAACTCTAAATTATCCCTAGGTGTGAGTGAGAATGGTTGTTTGTCTCATTTGTCTCTATGTGTCCCTATGGACTGGAGACCTGTCCAGGGTGTCCCCAGTCTCTCATACAGAATGCTGGACATGGGCACCAGTGACCCCTGCGATCCAGGAAAGAAACAGCAGGTAAAGATGATGGTTGTATGGAGTGTGTCCTCTTAGCGTTTCTGATACGGTTAGAAAAATATGGAACAATAAGATATTTAGTATAATAACCTAATCTTAAATACTTTTCATACTAGAAACATTTGTCTTTCATTGTGTCACTTAATGTAACAATACAGTTCTTTTTCCACGGACTGGCCGAATGTTTTAAAATCACAACAGTTGATACTAACACCATCTTCATGTTTGGATCTATGGCTCAGGAAAAAAAAAAACTTCCAAAACCTCGACAAAGACAGCGTTCTGGCGACACCTGGTGGCTGAGAAGTGAGTTGCACATAGCTGAAAGATCAGAGACCGAATGGAGGGATGAACATGACATACAGTGGAGAGTAAAAGGTTTGTTTAGTTATTTTACAACTCAGATGGTCAGTATTTTAACTACCTCCATGACCTCAGCACAGTTTGGAACCTCAAAGTCCCCAGACTCAGCTTCCTCCTTAGAAAACATGCTAGTGGGATTGAGGGCCCTTGCACCTCCTGAAGACATCACTAAAGGTGAATCCCATCTCCATTAAAGTGTTGGTCAAATGAGACACCCCCCCCCCCCCCCCACACACACACACACACACACACATAACTCAT